AGATTCCACATATGAGTGATCTCATATGGTATTTTTCTTTCTCTTTCTGGCTTACTTCACTTAGAATGACATTCTCCAGGAATATCCGTGTTGCTGCAAATGGTGTTATGTTGTCATTTTTATGGCTGAATAGTATTTCATTGTATAAATATACCACATCTTCTTTATCCAGTCATCTATTGATGGACATTTAGGCTGTTTCCATGTCTTGGCTATTGTAGATAGTGCTGCTATGAACATCAGGGTGCAGGTGTCATTTTCAAGTAGGGTTCCTTCTGGATATATGCCCAGGAGTGGGATTCCTGGTCATATGGTAAGTCTATTCCTAGTGTTTTGAGGAATGTCCATATTGTTTTCCACAGTGGCTGCACCAAACTGCATTCCCAGAAATAGCTCATTTTTAAGTTGGCAGTCTCAAAAATAATGGTGATTATATAGCAAATGCAGCTTCCTTTGAAATACTCTGAAGCATTCTCATGGAAACCTTTTTATCTTTACTGTATCATTGTAAAGTGGGAAAGGAATGAGTGATTGTTGGTATCAAATGACCATTTCCTTAGGCTCAGTGAACTGGGCTATTCTCATACATTTCAGCTGTACAGTTTTAGTTTTATGGTTTTCTGTGGTTCTGGTCACTGTGATGGTCTATGTGAATCCTTTACAAGTTACAATTTTCATCACCTCTAAAGTGTGTTTTTATCTGTCAGTGAAGCCATTTAGTAATAAATTTCTCATGAATAATAATACTGATTTGACAATATAATTTGGGCATAAAATATTATTTGATTTTTAGAGGAGTTGGAATGCTTTTCCTAAATTTATGTTTTTCTTAAATGTTACAATTAATGGGCCTCGTAAGTCAATGTTATTTCTCTGACTTCAAAGAAGCTATTTATTCAGGCAAGAGAACACTTTGGCAGTACTCTGTATACCAGGAAGTACATCACTTCATTTAGTAGGGATTGGTGACGCTAGAGGACATGTCTCAATTAATAAAATGTAGTTTTTTATTACTCAATATGGCAGATTATGGAAAATGAAGAAAATTTTTCATTTGTTTTATATTTCACTCATTATAATTTTAATACCAAAATCTGACTTTAAAGAGAATAAAATAAGAGGGAAAACTATGGATCAATTCCATTTGTAAATGTAGATGCAAAATCCAAATTACTCTAAAATGTTAGCAAATTGAAATCAGCAGTGAATTAAAAACATCTTGCTTGACCAAGTAGCATTTACTCCAAAGAAATGTAAAAATGATTCAACGTGCTTTGCAAACTCATTATATAAACACATTAAAGAACTATATAATTATATCAACAGATTTAAAATAACATTTAATTTTTAGTCATTTGTAACATAAGCTCTAAGTAATATAAGACTAGGAATAAACTACTGTAACATAATGAAGGGAATTTATCAAAAATCTACATGTCCAATTGTGAAATATTAAGCAACCAAAACGTGGAACAGGACTTCAGTGCCCTCTAGCATCATGATTAAATGACATGATTTTGGAAGGTCTAGCTAATGTAAAAAATAAGAAAAGAGGAAATAAGTTATACTAATGTCAGAACAGAAGGATCAAATTATCTTTATTTGTAGGTGGTAGGGTTGCAGGCTTGGAAAATATCATAGACCAAATTTTTAAAAAATATTGAATTAAAAAGAGATTTTTTCACACAAAATAAATAAAAATCAATAGCTTTAAAACTATCAATCAATAGAAATTAAATGGAAAACTACCCCACTTATAATAAAAATAAAAGCTAGAAAATAAGTAGAAATAAATTTTATAATAAAAATGAAAGCTAGAAAATAAATGGAAATGAATTTAATAGAACACAAAGGAAGACCACTAAACAGTCTTGTGGGAGGATGCAGAATGAGATGAGTTTAGAGATGTACAGCCTTTAGAATTTCCGAGTGAGTCTCTTGGCTGTACGCTCTTGTGTCACCTGCTTCCCTGCGGTGGTCAGATGCTGTTCAGTGCCCTGGCCTCTTCCCACTCAGGACCACTTCCAGAGGATGAAGAGAGCCTGTAACTTCTGGATGCTAACCTGATGAGCAAGACAAATCTTACCCCAAAGATGTATTTTGTTGTGTGTTTGACATCGTTAACAGAAAAGAAAAGAAAAAAGGAAAAAAACCCATGCAGTTACAAATAAGGAGGCTATGTCTGAAAATTATTATTTTTTTTTAAATTATGTTTAGGATTTAGTGAGCAGTTAGGAGAAAAATCATTTCATTGGTGTAATCCCTTGATTGACTTAACTTGTTTTTTTAATTAGGAAGAAGAGTGTGTTCCATTTACCACCTGGGGAAAGTGTATACATATAACCCTTTGTGCAAGTGCTCTTTTTCTGGGTAAGAACCTGCCACAGACTTTTTAAAATCTAATGTGAAATGCTGAGAAAACTGAAAGTCAAGCTGGGAACTATGTAGTCTCGTAGAGAAAACTTTTTCCAGAGAACATCTGGGCCAACGCAGGGCACCGCTCTGGAGGTTCCACAGTCTCTTCTGCTCACAGTGCTTCCCCCAATTCTTTTCACCTCATTTGTTCAAATCAGATCAGTGGTTTAGGACTCTCCAGGGTGTGATTAAGAGACCGGATGGAGGCATTGAGAATTCTAAAATTTTCCTTTTTTTTTTTTTACATTTTTTATTGATTCATAATCATTTTACAGTGTTGTGTCAAATTCCAGTGTTCAGCACAATTTTTCAGTCATTCATGGACATATACACACTCATTGTCACATTTTTTTCTCTGTGATTTATCATAACATTTTGTGTATATTTCCTTGTGCTATACAGTGTAATCTTGTTTATCTATTCTACAATTAAAATTTTCCAAGAATAACAACCAAGGTAAAATGTCTAAGAATAGCCTAACAAAAGGATAGTAGGAACTATCAAAAAAATAAAAATAAAAACTACAGAAAAATATAAAAGATGCCTTAATGACACGATTCCAGATTAAAAGATCATATCTCTAAAATATCAGAAGTTATAAAATTGATTTGGGGTTTATTGTGAATAAAATCATATTAGTAATATAATAATTAATAAGATAATGAAATTTTACTAGTTCAAGAATAGCCAGATTAGAAAATAGGACAGGAAGTCAAGATATGGGCTCTGATATTGATAATTAATTAATATAAGAGATGGATGGCATTACAAATCAGGGAGATAAATAAAGGTTATTCTGTAAATGGAACACTTGTTAGCTACTTGGGGGGAAAAGAAAAGACGGAAATCATACAGTGAACCATATATTGTGATAAATTCCAGAAACATTTAAAAATAACACAGTTAGAAAAAAACTAGAAATAAATATGGATGAATATACAACTTCGAGATAAGCAGTAAGTTTCAGAGGAAAATATATAAAGATTTTCATGCATCAGAAGCATCCTAATTTTAAACAAAACACCAGAGGATGTTATTTGTTTACAAATCCGACAAGGGGCTAATTCCTTCAATGCACAGAGAGTTCAGATCACTTCAAAGGTAACATCAACAAATCTCAGGAGTGTAGAAGGCAGAGAAGATGAACACACCTTCACAAAGGAAAAAATAGATGTCACAGACCAATGGTAATTCAGTCAGTTCACATCAGAATGAAATAGTTTTCCACGTCTCAGGTGACACAGGTCTGTTTATGAGGATGAAGTGCCAGTGATCACCAATCCCAAGCCTAGGTTACTGGACTTTTTTTGTGAAGTATGGTTTATTAATAATGCTGTGTTAATTTCTGGTGTTCTCCACAGCCTTCTTATAAAGCAGTTCGGCAGTTCATTTCAAGAGTCAGGAATATTCATATGCTTTAACCCACTAATTCAGCTTTGAAAAACTTTTAATCAGGAAGTATTTCAAAACGGCAGGGAAAAGTCAATATGGACGCAAGTCACAGACATACTTTTATGTGTGTATATATATATATACATATAATCTCAGTCAAAATATTCTTCCACCCTTCACATAGTAGAATATTCTGCAGCCATGAAAAAC